CCGAGACAGAACAAAACCATCTTCAGTTGCTATCTTCTTCATGTTTCATCCCCGCTGATTCCGAGACGAAAACACTACAAAACCCTAGTTCTGAACCTTGTTCTTCACTCGTACTCTTTGATTACAAGATGGCTGAGTCCGAGAAGACAGAGACGAAAGACCCACTAAACCCTAATTCCCCATGTTCTCTGTCTTTGTGCCTAACGGAGAATACAAGCCGCAAGAGACGTGCTGTGGAACAGAGGAAGCGTATTGGTGGAGTCAAGAAAGCAAAGGTTTCTCCTTTCTCACAAACGGCGAGAGATACGCCTGAGTGGCTTGTCAAGGTGATGAGAGACATGAAAGAAGCCAAAGATGCTAAATTGATCTTTGAGAAGACTCTGTTCGTGACTGATGTAAACCCAACACAGAACCGTCTCTCAATGCCTTTCAACAACTTACTCCGAAACGATTTCTTGACGTCTGTGGAGTCCAAAATTATAAACGAAGACATTAACAACAATAAGAAGATTGGAGTGGGAGCGATTCTCGTGGATCAACGGTGTGAAAAGTGGGGTGTGATGTTGAAGAGATGGGAGATGAAGAAGGAATCAGGTAAAGGAAGCTGGAATTACAATTTGATTTGTGGGTGGAACGACATCGTTGAGGCTAATGGATTGAAAGAGGGCGACAACATTAGTCTTTGGTCGTTTAGGTGCTGTGGAGTCCTCTGCTTTGCCATGGAACATAGTAGCTCTTCTCTTGCTCTCTGTCTCTGCTAAGTGATCAACTCGCATAGTGATCTAATTTCAGGCGATTCTGGAGATTTTTTGTCTAGTAACTTCTTGGAAGAGTTTGATTAAGAAAATTAGGGTTTCTTTCTATTATTAATTAGTAACTTGTTTCTTCTCTTGTTTCAGATCAATATAATCGTATCTACTTAGGATTTTTGACATGAATCTGGTTTGTTGTTTGGTCTACTTTAGTTACTGCATTGTTACCTTTCGATTTCTTGTAATATAACTCGAAGTCTAAATTTGTGTGATGAAATTGATCCAATAGTGAAAGGGTTTTGGTACTCAATGAGATTCTGATGTTCAAACTCATTATAAATAGCAAAATGAACAAAATTTGTTGCCTAGACAGGCTTTGGCCAAACCGTTTTGCTACAATTACTTCTTCAGCCACTTTGACTTTGTCTAGAGAGATTTCTCTTACACATATCTATAAGATCTAGTTTTCTTGTCTAGAGAGATTGCATGTGCTCTCATGGATCTTGGAGAGTTATCTGCAAAAAGTTTATTCAATAATAATCAAGTTTATTTTCAAATCAGCAACACATGTTTCTGTTTTCTTAACTAAACATAAACATTAATTTGACAAGTCTTGTTCAAAACAATGATTAGTGAATACCAAAGAGTTGATGCAAGAAACAAAACAAGGCACTGTAAGAAATTACTAATAATCTCCTACAGTACTGACCTTAATTACTAGATCTGCACCGAACTTGGAATATAAGAGAACACATCTCCAAGATCCGTTTCTTCGAAGTATCCATCCTCTCCACCCACGATATATGTGTTAACGTTTTCGCCATACTTGTCACAATATCTACCACAAACCACTGCTACTTTCGTCTGCTTATCAATGAAGAAACTGCGAACTTCAAGTTTAGATCGAAAGTAAGAACCACTGCATATAGGTTAACAGTTACCACACAAATATTTGCATGTGGGTTGAAATGAAGGATATTGCTGCTAATTGGATACAGTATATGGTTAAAACATAATAAATTAATGGAAGAGAGATGATAGCAAATACTATATCCCACATCAATGTCATAGAGATTCTATTCTATGAGGATGAACTGAGAAACTTTATTCTACATCTGCAGACTTCTAATCGTGACAACAATGATTCATAAACTCATTGGATATAGTTTAAACATAATGAATTGGAAGAGAGATAATAGAAAAGATGATCCCACATCATATGCATAGCAATGTCATATAGATTCTATACTATGTTGATGAACTGAGAGATTTCATTCTCCATCTGCAAACTTCTAATCCGCCACTAGCCAGATTGATACAGAAGAACCAGTCGTCATCCAAGACTCGAATGAAGTTAGGCCTTTGGTCGAGATGGTACATAGCTTCAGCTGCAGGTTCACAATAAATATCATCTTGTGAGAGGAAAATGTAGAGATCTCCAATGTCTTGAGTGTAAATAGCGTTTCCTTTATGGTCTAGCCTGAACACCATTACACCTTTTGTTCTCCTGATCTTTCTCAAGGTCTTCCTGTACCACTTAACCAAGAAAGTTTCATCGGTTGATTGTGACTCCACCAAGAATACGCTCGTGCAGCAAGATTCCAGAAGCTCCCGTTGGGTCTTGGTCCGCTTGGGAAGGTTTCGGAGCCGCAACCTTTGAATCTTGGGTGGTGTTTGTTTGTGTGTGTGGAGATCCCATGATCCGATGATGTGGCCTCCAGATCCAGGTATACGAAACATGCCATCTTTCTTGGAGAAGATGACTTGGGAGGAGTAGAAGCAAGGGTTTTCGATTCTGACGTTGGTCCACTCAGAAGAGTTAGGTCTGAAGAAGCTGAGTTGAGGTCCCAAAAACTTGACAGCCACAACACAGTCCTCGTCGTCAAGAGGAGAAGATGCTACCACGTTGGTGACAATTTGAGTTTGGCAACTAGGTAAAGTTACAAAAGGAGGTGACGAAAAGTGTTTCCGTTCTCCTGAATCCCACATAGAATCAATGAAACGCAAAATTCCGTCGTCATTGTAAGTAGCTGACCAGCCAGGGTATGCTCGCCAATCTATTTTATATTCCAAAAAAGTGTGGCGACATTTAGGAACATTACTAACCTTCAGTCCACAACCGTCGATGGAACATGGAAGGGTTCGCAGTGAGGAAGATGGGAAGCCACTAGAGAGAAAAAGAGATGACCTCATCGACGCAGGTTTGCCTAGGCACAACATTGAAGGCTTGTTGAGAAGCAGAGACATAATGAGGAATAATGAATGATAGATTTTAGGGGAAAGCAAGAGATTTGGGAGAAAAGAAAACCCTAATTGAAAAATCGTTGTAATTATCACCCTTTAGACGATACATTATAAATACAGAGGAAATGGACTTGCTCACCAAGTTTCCCGTCTCCAAATTAGGTTAAGGTAAGATACATTAATAGCAGAGGAATGAACTCGTAAAGTCTTTTTTCATTTATGCAAAAAACAAGAGAATAGAGATGGTAAGAGAGATTCAAAACAAAGACAATTCGGAAACAAAACGTGTAACAAAAGGAACATAAGTGGACTAAACTAAATCGTTGCACAAAACAAACAAACTTGCATATGAGGACGAAGTTATAATAAACACATCTCACGTGTGTATATGACAATCGAATTTACCACAAAAAGTCAAACTTTTTATACTTCAATCCCACTTTACACTTAACGAAAAACTGTTTCTGAATTCTGATCCCATCAATTATATGACCAAGCACAAGAAAGAGATGTTGATGTCGGAGAAGATAGTCATCGGAGGAATTCTTTGTCGGAATCGCCTTCTCTCCACATTGGAGAATCGGGTTGACTTCGGGTCAAAGGCATATGGGTTATGGTTTGGGCTTATGCAGTTGAGAACATGAAGCAGTTAATGGGCTGGCGATATATACAGTAAGGCCCATTGGAGTGAGAAAGAGTTTAAAAGAAGAGCTCTTCTCTCTTCTACGTACCAGTTCAGAATTAACCATTTTTATTCGTCCCCGTATTCTTTTTTCTTTTGAAGGTTACATGCACCATATATATGACATAAGCACCAAAATGTTTTGGTGAAAACTAGTATAGTTGTCATCCCGAAATTAGCCTGATCAATTTTGTTGTGTAGATTGTGTTTTCTTCTATGTTTTTTATTTCTTTGCTATAGGACCATTTACGTAGATTTATAATCATCGATCTTAAACTTAAACCGTTTTCATTTTTAGTAAAGTATTTACATTTTTAGCAACAAAAAAAAAATCGAGTCACTCTCCCAACCGTTCCATACTCAATAAGATCTGAGATTTCCGACGACCAACCATCCGATCTATACTTAACCTTTTAAGATGCATATTTAATAATTTATTTAAGAGTAGTTTCATCTAATGAAGAAGTGAGACATTAAAAAGATAACTATTGAAACTTTATAAAAATTTATAAATGTAATTTGTAAAAGTTTGAATGATTTTTCCCTTCATTTAATTATTAAACATGATTTGTTTAACTGAGCGAAACATTTACCCAAAAACATATTATTATTCTTTCATATGCAAAGCAAGGCCATGAATTGATCAACTCACGTGGTCTACCTGTCCCTCTCCTTTTGGACCTAAAGTTAGCTACGTGGCACTTCCTTATTTCCGTATAGAATCAGCGTCGGCACTCACCACGTGTCACACTCCTATTGGAGACAACATGGAAAAACTATTCTGTCGGTGGACCCACATCAGATTTTTTAATTAATAATTACAAAATAAACTAAAAAACACATAACCAAACCAAACCAACACTGTTAAAAATTGATAATTATGGTTAGCTTAGCTCTTACGCGTACCGTAACCACCGCTACAACAACCAAACGGACGTTTAATCTCGCCGTTAATAGAAGTTAACTAACAACACCTTTATCTTTGACTAGCCGTAACGTTAATTACTCTCCAAATTTCAAAGCATTGACTAATAAAACAAATGTTTGACTGATAAAATCTCCGGTTTAACCCGGTTTACTTATCGGTTCGTTCCGGTTTTCATTTCTTCTCCATCTTTAAGCAAGCTATAAAAATGGCGAATATAACCATCGCAAAGCTTTCTCTCTCTTTTCTTCTTCTTCTTCTTCTTCTTTCTTCGTCTCTGCATTTAATTTTGGTTTGAATACGACGCTTCGTCTTCTTCTTTCTCAAAGCTACGCTCCGAGGAAAACTTTATACGTATATGTATATAAAAGATTTGACTTTGTAATCTGAAAGCGACGTTTTTTGTTGAAAGAGAGAGTTTTTTTCTTCTTTACCTAAATCTGGAAAATTTAAAGAAAGAGTTCTGATTTTGATACTCCGCGATTTCGTGAGATTGCTTATTAGGTAAGAAAAGGATTCGAAGACGAAAAATGTATAATTTTGAGAAAGCATTTCTGGGTTTTGTGTCTTTTTTTCTGGATCTTTGAATTGGGAGATTAAGAAAAGGATCAGTTTTTATTTGATGATTCTCGTTTCTTGATCTTGGGTTTGATTCAAAATTACGATTTGATTTGATGATTCGATTTCATATAAATCTGAGTTAAATCTACATTTTTGCAGATACAGAGGTTTTACATTATTATCATCTGTTTCTTGATAAAAACAAATGCCAGGTAAAATTTCAGATATAGATTTTGCAAAATCTGATTGCTCTTGTGTGGTTTTTGAAGTTATCTGATTATGTTTGATCTTGTTGTTTTAGCATTAGGTGAGATACTTTTGGTTCCAGAAACTGATAAAGGAAAGAGTAAAGACATTGAGGTTTCAGATGATGAAAAGATTACAAGAACTCGTTCTAGATCTTTAAAGAAGAAAGCTATTAAAGCTTCGAGTAAATTGACACATAGTTTAAGGAAACGAGGGAAGCGTGTAGCTGATCAATATGCACCAATTGTAATTGAGGATGTGAGGGATGAAGAAGAGGAGAAAGCAGTGAATGTATTTAGAAAAGCTTTGGTTTCTTTAGATTTGCTTCCTCCTCGGCACGATGATTATCATACCATGTTGAGGTAATTGGATACTAAAGGATCATGTCAGATACTTCAGGATCAGTGAGTATTTTTGGATTGTGTCATGATCAGTTTCAGGTTTGTTGTTGCAGATTCTTGAAGGCGAGGAGATTTGATCTTGACAAAACTGTTCAGATGTGGGAAGAAATGTTAAAGTGGAGGAAAGAGAATGGAGTTGATACTATAATGCAGGTGAAGGATAAGAACCTTCCTTGAGTTGGTAAAGATATTGTTGTTTATGAGTGTGCTACAAAAACCTTTAAAGTTTTGAACTTTTCTAAGAATCTTTCCACATGGTGTTTTTTTCTGTTTTCCTAACTGGCAATGATGACTTATTCCTTCAGGATTTTGTTTATGATGAATATGAAGAAGTACAACAATACTATCCACATGGTTATCATGGTGTAGATAGAGAGGGACGGCCTGTTTACATTGAACGGCTTGGTAAAATTGACCCCGGCAAGCTAATGAAGGTTACCACATTGGAGCGGTTCTTGAGATATCATGTACAGGGTTTTGAAAAGACTTTTTCGGAGAAGTTTCCAGCCTGTTCGATCGCAGCAAAGAGGCACATAAATTCTTCGACAACCATAATAGATGTGCATGGAGTGGTTGGTACCTTTATATTCCTTTCTCAACATTCTGTTTCAGTGCTACATCCTGAGTTTTCGAATGCTTCTTTTGATGCAGAGTTGGATGAGCTTTAGAAAATTAGCTCAGGACCTTGTAATGCGAATGCAAAAAATTGATGGTGACAACTATCCTGAGGTGGGTGTATGAAAGTTATTTGAATGTCAACATATACACTTTTCACCATTGAAGAACACTAACATTGGTTTTGGTTCACTGAAGACAGACATTGAATCAGATGTACATTATTAATGCTGGAAACGGATTCAAGCTTGTTTGGAACACCGTGAAAGGCTTTCTCGACCCGAAAACTACTTCTAAGATTCATGTATTACATCTTCCACATAGATAAGCCTTATACAGGACCTTTCAGATGTTCAAACTTGACCAACAATTTACATTGGTTATTGCACAGGTTTTGGGAAACAAATATCGCAGTCACCTTCTTGAGATTATAGATCCAAGGTCAGAATTTCTACTTTATCTGTGATTATTCAAAAGTAATCGAGTTTGTTTTTGTTGTTTGGAGGCTTATAACGTTAGCCTCTGTTATTTTCTTTACACAGTGAGCTTCCCGAGTTTATGGGAGGAAATTGTACCTGTGCAAATGAAGGTGGGTGTATGCGATTCAACAAGGGGCCTTGGAATGACCCGGAGATAATGAAAGTATGATCCTTTTCAGCTCAAATTTTTGTTTAGACACTGGTATCTCTTGAAAAGCAGTATATGATAAAGTCTCTGTTTTGCATCGTACTTGTAGCTAGTGCGCTCGAGAGATGCATTGTACAAAACAAAAGCAATAGGGCTCCTGGAGAATGGGGAAGTAGCTAAATTATTTGCCTTACCGGTTAGTATTAATTCAGTCAACTTGTAACAGTGATTGGCTCTGTTACTTTCTGTATTAATATCACTTGCCCATTTCTTTTAGCAGCATGTGAACACAGAGATTTCATCACCTGATGGAGGCCAAGTTAGGGACAGAGAATTGCATCTTGAACATGTTAGTTTACGTATATACATAGTCTTCCCCTCTTTTGTTTGTTCATGGTCTAATATTGTGATTGAATGATTACCGCATATTCTTATGTTTCTAGGACAAACGTGCTCAGCTGAGCAATCAAGCTGAAGCAGTTGGTGTTGGGAGAATGGATCAGTCTGATTTAACAAGTAGGTTAAAGCCACTCTGTGTGCTCATGTCATGATCCATTTTAGACAAGATTCTAATAGTCTCTAGAACACTTTTCTGCAGATTCGTTACCGAATAATCTGACAGTAGAAAGGAGTTTAAAGACCTCTCTTCAGAAAGTTGCAAGTTTGTTGGCTCGTTTTATCCTCCAACTTCTTGGCAGTCTATGTCTCATGTTCCGGATCTTGGGAAGACTTGTAAATAAGCAACCAGAGAACCAATTGAGACCAGAGTTAAGGGTTTCAGTCTCCCAGCAACAAGTTCCTCCTCCTCAGGTGCAAAGAGAGTCTGTCCATCCATGTTGGCTGAGGTTGCAAAATCTGGAGACCATGGTCACAGTTTTGTGTGATAAACCCTCAAGCATTCCTCAGGAGAAAGAAGATATACTTCGTGATTCATTAGACCGCATCAAATCCATTGAGCAAGATTTACAGAAGACAAAGAAGGTAAACTATATAGACCCATTCTCTGATTTGTTTCAAGATCTATATATCTCCAGGCATTAGACTTAAGTTAGGATTTAATGTTGTGACAGGCGCTCTTTTTAACCGCGTCAAAACAAATAGAACTCGCTGAGTGTTTGGAAAACTTGAAGGAAAGCAGCTCAACGGTAAGGGCTTAGTCTTCTCTTATGTGAATACTTGGGATTGATCTCTGAGTGCATCAATATGAAACATTTTTCTTCTTTGCTTAACACAGGGAATGCGTTCATGCTGGCCAAGACACTGCAGAAACTTCCAAGCAGAAACCTAATTTGCAGAATAAATGTATCTTCGGATCTCATATTCGAAGTCTGCATAGCTACTAATTCACCCTCCAACCATATAACAGGTGAGAAACATCACATCACACTCATCTCTTGTCATATTCCAACTATATTTTTTGTTCGTTTTGCTCACTTAGACCACTTATCCTTGAATGGTTTTTGGTTTTTTTTTTCAGATGGTATATATATATTAAAGGCAAAATGGTAACAGGAAGTGAAATTGAAGAGGGAGAGCTTACAATTGTTAAGTAGCAAGCAAGCTTTGTTTATTTACCAGTCTCTTTAGGTTAGAAAACAGAGGAATTAGTGAACTATTTGGGATTTTACTTTTTTTTGTTCATAACGATTTTATTGCACATCATTGTTGTATAGTATAATCCAGTAGTGGTGATTTTACAGTATTGTGTATTTCTTACTTACAATCAAAATTTACAAATATAATTACATTTGATGGTCATGTAAAGAGAGAAAGAACAGAGATGAAAATTTGGTGGTTAAATTTTGGTTTAGGAACCCAAACCGCTAGCGTAAGCCCCAAGTAACAAACCCCTAAATCGCTTAAGCCGTTATGTATATATGTGACTAGTTCTGAGTGTGCTGCAAGCCAGAAAAATAAACCAACTCAAAGCCCTAATCTAAGCAAAGCCGCCGTCTCGGAGCAGCCGTCGCTTGTCGTCTTGATCTGCGTGAGAAGGAGAGAGATCAACTGAGATCCGAGCCGAGCCACTCACCGTCTGCTTCCACCGTGCCGTTGTCGTCTATGTGAAGATCCAAGGCGAGATCCGAGAGCAAAGCAAAATCAAACCGAGAGACCGAAGAAGGAGAAGAAAACGAGAGAAAGAAGAGAGAAGAGGTCTGATCCGGTTTTTAGCAGAACACTTAGAAGAATGTCATTCAAAAGAATGGGGAAAATCAAGTTCGAAGATTGTATCATTATTTTCTTCGGATGTAAGATGGGAAAGACATGTCAAAGGTGATTGACTTGTCCCCTGTTACTGAAGATGCTGAAGCCTCGCCGGAGAAGATAACCGGCGTTAAAGACGAGAAAGAGGAGAAGAATCCAACTTAATTGATCATCGAGACATGGACTCCTTGAAAGCTATTTCGAATGCTAAGGCATCACCTGAATCTTTTGGTTTGTTTCATTGAGAAAAGTTTGCTTCTCCTTCTTCTACTTGTTAGTAAGTATTAGTCAATTTCTCTTGAATATATCCTACAAGTAAAAAAAATAAAAAAATCCCTACAAGTTAGGCTACTGTTTTGAATAAGAAAAGGAGTTTTGCATCAGTTTCTCTCTTTTAAATTGTTCCTCTGATACTTTTTACTAGGTATGGGCAAATAAACCGAACCGAATGTACCGAACCGTAAAAGCAAGAAAAACCAAACTGAACCGAATCAAAAATTTAAAAATAACCGAATGGATACTAAATTATATAACCGAAAGAATCGTAACCGAATCGGTACCGAACCGAAATATTTCGGATAACCGAAAATACTCGAAATATAATTATATTTTCAAAAATAATAGTTATTTACTTATTTATAGACTAAATAATCAAAAATACTTGAAAATATAAAATAATAAAAATACTCGAAAATAACATTAAAAAATCAGAAAATACCCAAAAAAACCGAAATATCCGAAAATATAAGCAAAATAACTCAATGGATACTAAATTTTAAAACCGAAATAGCCGGAACCGAACCAAAACCGAAATTTTAAAATAATCGAATGGATACTAAATTTTAGAACCGAAAGAACCGAAACCGTATGAAACCGAACCGATAACTGATCGGATAACCGAAAGCACAGGACTACCTTTTTCATCTCTGAGTAAAAAAAGAGAAGTGGGTTGGTACTTAATTTTTATTGGGCCCAAAAACCAGAAAAATCAACGAGAAGACAAAAGGCCCAAAGATCCGATTTGGAGTCATCAAAAGCCGAAGCGCCAATTAACATCATTACATTAAAAACCATGACGACGCCTTCGCCGACCTCCTCTCCTCCCTCTGATTCAAACCCTAATTCCGCCGCTACTCCGCCGCATCACAAACAACAACCACCCTCTCCTCCTCCACCCACGAATCCATCCTCTCCACCTCAACACATCACCGTCGTAGCTTTAGCCGCATCAACCTCCGCCGTCGCCAGAAAAACCCAACCAGTTCTCTGGACTCACGACGAGACTCTCCTTCTAATCGAATCATACAAAGAGAAATGGTACGCAATTGGTCGTGGTCCTCTAAAATCAACTCACTGGGAAGAAATCGCCGTCGCTGTCTCATCTCGTTCCGGCGTTGAACGGTCATCTACACAGTGTAGGCATAAGATCGAGAAGATGCGTAAAAGATTCCGATCTGAGAGACAGAGTATGGGACCTATCTCAATTTGGCCATTCTATAATCAAATGGAGGAATTGGATTCAAATCCTGCTCCGATCTCAGCTCGTCCTCTCACTCGTCTTCCTCCAAATTCGAATAATCGCTACGTAGACGACGATGAAGAAGAAGAAGAGGATAACAACAACTACGAAGAAGAAGAAGAAGATGAGAGACAGAGTAAATCAAGAAGTATCAATTACATATTGAGAAGACCTGGAACTGTTAACAGATTTGCTGGAGTTGGTGGAGGATTATTGTCATGGGGACAAAAAGAGAGATCATCAAAGAGGAAGAGGAACGACGGAGACGGCGGTGAGAGGCGGAGGAAGGGAGCGAGAGCTGTTGCGGCGGAGATTAGGGCGTTTGCTGAGAGAGTAATGGTAATGGAGAAGAAGAAGATTGAGTTTGTTAAAGAGACAGTGAGGCTTCGTAAGGAAATGGAGATTAGAAGAATCAATTTGATTCAGAGTTCACAAACTCAGCTTCTTGAATTTATCAACAATGCTTTTGATTTTTTCTAACGCAGAGATTAGTGTCATTGTTGGTTTTAGATTTGTAACATAGGTAATGAATTGAAGAAATGCACTATGTAAGCTAATGTTTAAGTGAACTTTTTTTGAACCATAAGAGATTAAAGAGACAGAACAATGGATACATTCATCAAATTAACCTAAAACCTACAAGAGAATAAGTTAGAGGAAAAGGTAAAAAAAAGAGGCCCTAAATATATGCCACAAGGATGGAGGAGTAGAGACTTCTATACAAAACATTATAAACTGTTTCTACTCTCTCCCAAACCAAAAGATGGGAAGAAGAAGAAGAAGAAGAAGAAGAAAGGAAGAGACTACTTCTCTATGATGCAAGTGGGTCATTTACATTATCATATACCTTCTCTCTCTGTGGTCATCAAAAGAGGCAAAAAGACCTGCATGAATTGTATCCTATCCAACATCTTCTTCCCTATTTTATCTCCCTCTGGCCTTATCAAATCTGCAAACTCCACAATCTGTAGAGTTTGTTATGTTATACAGCATCTCAGCCAAATCCAAAGACCATCACCAGCTTGATGATGTTAATGCCAAAAAGTGAGGACCCGAATCTGAAGGCGGAGGAGATAAACCAGTTTGGGTTCCTGTACAGGGTTGTTGTCGGTAAGAGCTAGTATTAAGCCTTGCAGGATCTACAGCTACTCAAGGTTCTAGGTTCATCTGTCATGCCTCTCATTCCACTTTTGTATCAGGAGGCTTGGAAGATGATACTTCTTGTGCTTCTTCTAAATGAGGCTGCTGTTGCTGCTCAGAAGCAAGGTGTTTCTGATTTTGTACAGTCAGCTTCTCTGGCAACTTCGGTCTCTTTTCTTCTGAAGGTAGAAACTGTTGTTGTCTCTGTGTCACACCCTCGATCCCGTGACTAGGCAAGCCACCAGATACATGCTTCTGAGCTAGCCCTTGGTTCGGTGTTGATACTGGATCATTCCCAGGTGAATCCGTATTGGAACTGTTTACTACTTTAGAAGCAGTGCTTTGCACAGAGGCAACACAAGATGGAGGTTCCAAAGCAGGCACCGCAGTAGAACCAACTGCTTTTATGTTTTTCAAATCATTACTCGCTTGATGCATACCCTTGGTTGTACCCATACTAGCAGTTTGGGTTGTATTGGTGACAGATAGCGGAACACGTGGCATACGTTCAGCTTGGGACTTCTTTGATAACTCAGAGTTTCCTAGGTGATTATGATGAACAACTCGCTGAGCTGCTGATTGCACTTGATTGCGCTGCTTTTGGTGTATCAACAAATGCTGATGGTTAGAAGGTGCAACTGCTGGTGTAATTGACGGGCTAGAGGTGGATAAGATGTTACATGGGGCCGCAGGTGAGGTCTGGCCTTGGATGCTATTGTCTGAATGTAATTGCATCTGCTGTTGGGACGGAGACGAAGCACCAGAGAATGATTTTGGCAGTTGCTGTAAATGATTTGAAGATAAGGGAGGAACAAATGGTTTAGACTGCAGATGTGTGCTCGTGGTAGTCCCTGCACTAGACTGCTGATCAGGCCTAACTGGAACCGCTGATTCTCCTTTTTCGGTAGCCTGATTTCCTGGGGCCATGGTAAGACCATTCAGGTGTGACTGATCAACAGTGATGTTCTGATGGATCATGTTGCCTCTACCCATCCCCTTTTTATTCTGCTGTTGACCTTGTGTTGGCTGCCGCTGGTGTGGATGTTGTCTTGCAGACTGCTGCAACTGCTGCTGAAGTTGTCGCTGCCGTTGTTTTCCAGCTTGATTGTTCACTCCAGAAGTACCAGACTGAGGACTCCTACCCAGACCATGAAGCGGCAACTGAGATTTTTTAGGGTTCTGTTGTGCCATAGCATTAATACTAGGAGAGGGAGACACTGGGGGCATCGATAATGGCTGGGGCGAAACAGGTGGTTGAGTCTGAGGACTGTTTTGTGGAGAAGAAGAAACAGAAGAGCCCTGAGGTTGTTGTACATGTGGCATCATAGTACCAGATGCTGGAAACTGCTGCTGCTGTTGCTGCAAATACCTCTGGTGTATTTGCCTTTGACGGATAGCAAATGCTTCCTGCTGTGCCCCAGTGGCTTGACTTGGGCTCTGGAGATGAGGATGATGCGAGTTGCCAAGCACATGTGACTGCGGTGACATCTGATGTTGCTGGGAAAGATGGCCTGGGTACGCCTGAACAGGAGTTGTCTGGTTGGTAAATCCAGAACTCAAATTACTGAAAGCTGGGATCCCCGGACTGTTCCCTTGAGCAGCCTGCATCTGAAATTCATGCATATCAGTTTTTATCATCACTGTATAGTCGTAATGTTGTCAAACAGGTTCAAAATGACAATCGACCAGCGGTTGACAAAAAATAGAAGCGCTGAATGTCTACAAACTAAAACAAGGAGCCAGATAAATAAGTCCAGGTGGTGAAGTAAGAAATCGATAATTACAAGTTCCCGCATGTGAGAAATCTTATAACTAAGTGTAATAATTAGCGTAGCAGTAAACAAAATCCAAAATAGCTTACCCGCATCATATGCTGCACAGCTTCACGAGGCCTGTGCATGGAGTTTCCTTGAGAAGCTCCTCCTCCGGAATGAACATTTCCAGTGTTTGGAATTCCTACCATACCAGAAGAAAGCATACTAGCAGTATTTGGCATTGCTGATGAGGCCATCCCTTGGAAACCAGGCCTTGACATGGGTGTGTTCCTGTTCATTCCAGTTACACCCATAGCATTTCCACCCGGAACCATGCGATGTCCACGATCAGATCCTGAGACAGCTCCAGGAGTTGATAAGGAGGGCTGCTGTAGGTTTCTACCGGATAACATCTGATTAAATTGTTGTAGTCGGTGTTGTTCATCAAGTGGCAAAGACCCTCTAGGAACATTGAATCTACCATCCCTATAAAGAAAAAATATATCAACATTCAAAATTAGTAAAAACCCTCAAGTAAAATGAGCGGAGATTCACAGACGTATGCATTCACCAAGACAAACCATTCAGTACAGGTCTACCTGACAGAAGCACTCTGTAGGCCAGACGTGGTTGGCAAATTGTTGCTCAGAACCACACCAGACGATCCAGGAGTGGATGGATGTGCTCCAGAAGTAGGGAGCACTGGCGTTCCCTGATTTAACATAGGAAGACCTGGATTTTCAAGTGAAAATACATCTTGACCTGAAGTTGATGCATCACAGACATCAAGGGGCCTTCATCCGGAGAGTAGCAAAATATTAGAATTGCAAGAGTAGTAGTCAAGATATATGTGAATTTAAGGGAACAACAGAACTTACGTAAGAACACCTCCATTCAGATTATTCGGGAATACTTGAGAAAGAGCCATGACTTGTGAATTGTGAACTGGTACTATTTGCTTGGGATCCCGACCATCATTCTTGAAGATAGATGAATGAAACAGTCGCAAACATACAAAAGCAGCAACAAGTAAACAGATTTAAGGCCTTAGGAGATTCATACTTCAAACTACAATGTGACTTCAGCAAATGTTAGCCAAGATTTGAAGCTATACTTAGAAACATGCAAACCTGGTATGTCAGGTGATTGAGATATGCCTCTCATACTATAAATTTTACGCAAATTGAAAACTGAATTAAGGAAACCTATCTTCTCCAATTCCATATCTATAACTCTATAAGCAACAACTTTTACCAGCTCCAGTGCAACTTGAAAACTGAATTCCGTGAACAAAAGAAACCACAGAAACTCTGATAACACTCTCTGGCACTATAAGTTAAGAACCCTTTAGCATTCTTCCCACAAGGGACTCAAAAACTAAAATTTGGACTACCATCACCCATCATTTCATCTCCTTGATGCTACACAGTACATACACAAAGAACTATCCCTATTACCAGGCAACAGTTGATTTATGACTAGACAATAAATGCAGAAAGACAGTATCTACTAGTTTTAGGTTACAAGCTTGGAAACAGTAACAAAGTAGTAGGTGAACTAACCTGTGTCTTTCTATAATGTAACTTCTTCCCAATCAAACAAATCTTCTCAAAATGAGACTTCAGGGTATCTTCCTCCATTGGCCCTTGCAGTCGTTGAAACAACTGTCTCGCACTTCCCTGAATATCACAAACATATTAGGGGTAATTATATTAGTCTAAACATAGAAGACACTTTGTTCAGCATCTCAGAGCTAAAGAAAAACCTTTGGGATGCCAGGCAAAGTGGATGGATAAGACTGGGAATTCCCTGAATCTTCAGCACTATCAGCACCATCACCAGCAGTCTTATCCATCAGAATCTTATGCCGCTCCTTGCACTCAGTCGGATTGCGATATATACACTGGACAAACAATGGAAAAATCAATCAGCCAGTATCAAATACCAGTTGTTCACTAATACGAGAAAGTAATAACCTGGACAACAATATCCAACACAACAGTTCACTAGAATAGAAAAAAATATAGCTCTGCCACTCTGTTCGAAATGTACCAAAGAAAGAATCCCAATATTTTTCAAAAAAACAGGCACATACCTTAATTTTAAGGGTGCTGTTCATAGCATCACTAATGAGCTCCCAGTTAGGGCCCATGTCATGCACTAGGACAACAAGAGCCTATATGGTGGGGAAAAAAAATTAGATACTCATAAAAGCAACCAACAGAACATCGATGTTAATGAAAGATGACGTATAAAAAACCTGATCCTCAAATAGTGACCACGGATTTCCAGAACCATGCTGACCAGGAGAAATCTGAGAAAAACAAAATTCTAGTTTAAAACAAATATTTTAAACAAAGTGAATGGAGTTAGTAAACCTTCAAGAGCATACCTTCAGGCCTTTTATTTTTCTGGCCCTATCACGACCTCCAATAAATTTGATAGATTTGTTGGGGTTGGACATATTGCTCATCTGGGAAGCTGCCGGAGAAGGAATCGATCCAGCGTGAGGAATAGCAATATCAAAATTATTGTCTACCAATTGCTTGGTGGTCTTTTGCTTCTTTGCACTATGAGGACCATACAGGCCTTGTAAAATACAATTAAAAATATGTCACCGAATTATAAACAATAACCATTGCTTTAGTTTTATAATTGGTAGTTAATGATAAGATGTACGCAAAAAATGCTGCTTAAAACATTGTTTAATTTATACAGGCAGAGTGAGGCTGAGGAAACCCCAACCGCTGAAGAACTATAATGCACCACAAAGTGAAAAAGAATTTGCAAATAATACCATTCATATCGAAATGATTCTCTGGTCGCTTCTTCCAGTGGTCCTTCTGCCAAAATAAGGATGAATTAGAATCCTTTCTAAGAAGTCAATTACTAGTACAGGGTAAACATTTGCTATCATAACTTAAAGTTCTCATGTCAAGAAATAGGAAACTGTGAATAGTCGTCACCTCTTCATGATAAAAACGGAAACAAAAAATAACTTTGTTAAGTATTTCAACCCCATGAGTAAGACTCAAGCATCAAACCAGTTAAGCAAGTGGCAAAAATTATTTTATCAAGCTAGTCAAGCAACAATCTTGATTAATTTACACCATCTAAACTCGCATGCTTTCCCTAAACATTTGCTCAAATTGATTCTTAGGATATTACCAATGAAATCACCTGTTCAACATGGACTGGCGGATCGAGATGCCAGGTTTGGTCATATGCGGATCCCTGCAACAAATGAAATTGAAAATTACAATGCGATGTCAACTAAAAGTAATAGCAACTATTTTATGCAAAGAGTAAGAGATATGCTGCTATTGCAAACTACCTGATGAGTTTTCTTCTTCTTTTTAGGTCTTCCTGAGGTTTCAGCCATGTCATAAGGTAACATCTTTTCAAAATTAACACTTGACTCAACCTCTGTGCCTTTTTGGACTGCCGATCCACCATGCAAACTACTTTGCTCATCCTGGAAAGAACTAGTATCCCCACTAGACGCATCTGTCTTCGAGGGCACTGGTAAATTCCCAGCAGTAGCACACCCAAAAGGACTCACAATCCTCTGCCTGGAAGCAGTGCGCACTCGCCTCGTCGGAACTGAGCCGGCATTAATATTACTGGCAGGCCTTTTTGCCATCAAACTTGATGAGTTAGAGCCACCTGTGTAGTTGACGTATTGTAAATCATCCCCAAGATCATATGACCGGGCAGAATGAGACTTCATCAGATTCTTCCTTTTTTTGTGGCTTATATTAAATGATCTGCTAGACTCGAAAGCTCCTGGAAGATAATAGGTACTTGTTTCTCCTTCATCCTCATCGAACGCAGTACCATTATATCCTATATCTATAATTAGAGATCAAAATTAGCAAAAAATCTAACCAACCCGCGAAGCTCAAACAATCCAGAATTGTGCATACCTCCAGCAGTATCATAGGCTGATGTATCAACCTCCTCCTGCATGCTACTTCCAGACTTCTGGGAACAGAGAAATACTTTTAAATATCTTCGGAGAACAGATATATATTCTCAGGAAAATATACGTCTACAAGGTTACAATATGCGAGCTCCTAGCATAGAAAAATCTCACATACCTCACAGCGTGTAAGATGTGACTCAATGGACTTATGGTACACCTCCATTGCACCAGATGGAACTGAATAAAAGAGGCTTGCCTGCACAGTTACAAAGCTCAATTAGCAATATTGTAGAACTATCCACAGCAATAGTATTTAACTGAGGCTGCGGAAGATCTTTTCAGAAATTCATACTTCTGTAAGCTGATCAACCATAGATATATCCAATATTTCTGGGTCGCACATATTGTCCGGTGTTGACAGTGCAGCTGAATGATAGGAGATGGAAGAGTTGTTGTACTTCAAAAATCTACTTGCATACTCCTTGACACCCCCAGCTAAACATACTCTGCCATTCACACAATTAGATTCTTGGCAAGTCTCCTGCATACAACCACGGTATTACTTAGTATAATACCATTAAGTTTTACAAAAATCATAACATAAAGAGCAACAGAACCAGAGACTCCTGAAGGTAATTATCAAAGACAATGCAAGCAAATAAGAAAGATCAGGCTTCTCAATCATAAGAAGGAAATATCCGTAGAATTCTGTTGTTTTACAGTCTAGTCACAAATATAATAATATGGTTCCAGGATGTCAGTGTTGTCCATACTTTAATCCAACGAGTATGCATATATATATATATATATAATTCTGATTTAAAAGAAAAGGAAAAAACCATATGATCACCATTGTCATTAAACCAGAAAAGAGGTCTGACAGTCAAGTACCTTAACAATACCCAAGCTCGTCTCCTCTAGCTCCCCAGGAACCTCCACAGAACTCCAGAATTCTAAGATAGCATTAGATAGGAATGAAGCTATTTTTTTCAGCTTTTTGTGCTGATTTCGTTCCTCAAATCTCAACTGACAAGTCAAAGCAACTCGATGGCAAATTTGTGCTGCAGCAGTCATCTTCCAAAGGCGCTCCTAGATGATGAAAAGAAAAAGGTAATAAAATGCAATCAGAACACTCACTGAAAAATGTTTCAGTAAGATATTAGTGGACAAGCTCATTTAAGAAGACGAATGTCCAGACGCTATTGTAAATAAACAGAACAATAATCCACAACATGCAGCATTTTCCAAGCAGACATATAGAATTTAAGTTAGAAAGCTAATTTAACTAGACCATACCTGCGCAAAATCATTTGCCAGCCATGCCATTTCTTCGAGGACAAAATCCCATTGAGATTTCTCACGGACCTCCACTGGTGCAGTACCAAAAGATAACTCGGCAATTCTTTTTCTCTTTGCCTGATAGTGTATTATGTCATACATAAAAAGATGAAAAGGTATATAAACATTATAACTTCTTCGAAAGCTAGACAACTTAAGATCATCAAGCCAAGTTGAAAAAGAAAACCTGTATAATCCGTGCCTCTTCAAGGATAGAGTCCTCCTTGATAGTATCTAACACAACTGCATCTGAGCTCGGCTGATGTTTTAGTGATTCAATATCAGTTCCTGACAATAAATTATTGCCAGCTGTGCAAGAACTTGTGTCCACAGATGCTTGAGGAATTCCCGAGCACAACGAGCTGCTAGGATTTTCAGGTAAAATACTACCAACTTTCCTGTCATTTTCGGGTACAACCAACCCATCTTGAAGCCTTTTCTCAGTCTCAAAACCTTTCTCCTCATTTTGCATCTCAGCTGTACTTCTATGACTTTGATTTTCAATTTTAACCGATTTCATCTGCATTTCACGCTCAGGAATGCACTCAGTAATAATGGTGGTAGATTGACCTGTCTCATCTTCAATCTTAGTTTGCCTTATTTCACCAACTGTTTGATCCAGTAACCCCTCTACTCTCAAAGTCTTCTGCATAGAGATTTCATCAGAGTCAAGTTTGTCCACTTTATAAAGATCTCTTTCATTATCTACATCTACTTCTACGTTGTTAGCATGAGAAGACTCTGACTCTATCCCTTTAGTCCCTGCAGCTCCTCTACTTGTTAAGCTTTCTTCCTCTCCCATGGAATCTCTTAGGCCATTCAGTTGGGTAGAATTATTTTCCTGCCCAGCTATTGTCGCAGCTTTGGGAGAACCAATCTCTGTACCACTCGAAACTAGCTGTGCCTTCTCCCCAGCAAGGCCAGACTCTCCAACTGGCAAATATGCAGAGCTTTTTCTATATGTAATGTCGGCTTCATCTTTAAATAGACTAGTCTTGGATCCAGCAGTACTCTCTCGTACAACAGGTTCACCATCCACCTTAGTATTCAGAGAATTGCTGGGAACTCTATTTTTTGGAACATTATTACCATTTGTATTTGCAAATATTGGACAAGATACAGAAGTTGTATGCCTATCCTTTTGATTGGCTGCTTCGGGAATGCAACCCTTTCCTTCCACTGATCCTCTGCGAATGGATATAGATGTTGCAAGACCACCACGATTCTGAACTAAATCTGTAGAGCTTGACCGCGCTGGATCCCGATTTATCTTTGATCTGTTCCTCCGAGCATATGGGCGAAAGATGGCAGAATCTTCTGTTTCTTTGGTATTCTGGTTGGTGTTTGCTTTGGAAGATCGTTCTGACTCAGAAGTTCTGTTTTGCCTATTAGGATATCTCAAATTTCTTTCTCCTTCAACTGACTTGTTTTCAGAATCAAACAGTAAAAGATTATCTGCTGTATTAGGTTCAGAAATTGTAGGAACTCCAGGTCTACCGCTACTCTCCACAGAGTCTCCATGTGGTGAGGCAGTCAAGGCAAAACTATCCTTGACTTCACTGTGGGGGGTTATGGGTAAATATTGATCAGTTAATCCATGAAATTAATGGGGAACTACAACAAACACGAATGTACCTGTTTACAAAATGCTCTGCTTGCTGATCTGTGAGTGATGTAGATTGGACGCTATGTGAAGTTGCAATACCAAACTTGAAATCCAAGGGATTACCGCCCTGAAGCAGATAGAAGAGTAGAGGCTTATAATCATAAGTTCTTACACACCAAAAAAAAAAGAGAACAGGGAAACAGGTATTCATACTTTTTCCAGAAACTCCAATTCTCTCCTCCTTTCCTCACGGACATCATACTCTTGCCTGTTGAAACAAGCATCTTTGTTACACATTGGAAGTGATTGATAGCTGTAGAAATTATAGAGCATTTTTTAAACACACTGCAGAAGATCCAGAAGTCTCAATCTGAAATACCTTAGCTCCGCTTGAGCCTTCTCAATTGCTGTTCGGCGCGGAGAAGTTTTGACACCAATACCAGCTCCACAATCAATAACTCCTCCCATGGAATCAACCTCAGCATTTACTAGAAGAAATCCTGAAACGCTTCCATGCATCACCACCTCGAATGCCCCATCAATTCGAATTCTAACTTAACTGAAAAAATATATCAAGAAGCTTTCAGTATTTACAGCATTCAAATGATCATACTACAGAGTTTAGAATCAGTTACACCTAAATGTTGACCTACAAATAACAATGGTAAATGTATGTGCATGTATGTTCTCATGAAGCAAAAAGCAGTACCATATGATATCATATTATAGAGTAGCTTATCAGATTCAAGATATAACTGCTCAGAAGATGTCAAAAGTAAAACAACATTCAGTCATATGCTCGAGCCACTATCCAAAGGAACATCAAAGTGAAGATAACTTCCCAGAATCTAGTATTTGACAGAGAATTTTTTATATCTAACGCCAATACCATTCTGATACCCGAGCTCAGAACTACGCATTCCAGCATAACAGAGATAGAACTCTAAGATACCAAAGAAATGAAATGTTGCCTCAAGGCAGAGAGGTTCTCGAAGCTTTATCCAACACTAACAACGAGGAACCAAAGTTAGAAATGATCAGCTTAAGCTACTTAATGGCGTGCCCACGAACTCTTGAATCAAGTATTGAGCATTTCCAAGCTAAACGAGCAGAAACAAAGAACTACAGAGACGAAATTCCAGCAAACAATTCACATTCCAGATCAAAATAGCAGAATGAGAAGCACTGCACTATCCCCAAACCAAAAACGTTCAAAATCACAGAAGCTCCAGCAAAGCTGGACTCTAGGGTTTCATTAGAAGAGTGAAAGGGAAGAGAGTTAACCTGGGAATTGAACGTAGAACAGAACAACGAAGACAAAAAGCTAGGGCACAAAACTCGGGCAAAATCACCAAATTCTAAAATTAGTTTCTCTCTCCTAGGGTTTCCAAAAACACCTCTTTCTTCTAAAGCTTTTTTTTTTCAAATCAAAAGACGAAAATCAATTTCTCAGAGGAAACAAGAGAAGAAGAAGCTCCTCCCAAAACATTGAATCCATGAAATTGCTATGCTTGTTGCGAGATTGATTCCTAATTCAGCAATTTTTCGTTTTCAATTTTGGTTTCCCTCTCGGGAGAAGAAAAAAAAAAAATTGAGTTCTCGTTGATGTTTTTTTTTCGTTCTCTCTCTCTCCTCGACGCAGTATGCGACTCTCTCTCCCTCTCTCTCTCCGGATTCTGGGCCTGAGATTTTGACCAAACAAGGCCTTTCTTTTGTTTGTTTGGTTCTGTTTCGGGCCTTTTGTAGTAATAAGTTATAACAGGTTTTATGTTGTGACATGAAACTCTACAAATCTCAGGCATGTCGCTGGTTTAGTAAAACTATAATTGTCCCACGTTGTCTATAGGCAATTAGGAATCTATATATACATTTTTGGTGAAGATTTGGCCTCAAAAATCCTTTTACAATTTTAATATTGTACATTTAGTCCCTACAAATAAAATCAGGAAAAAATATATGTCTTAATCAAATTTACAAATCAATAAATAAACTCACTAAACATTCCTAATTTTTCGTAAACTCGATTTGAGTTTAAAATATATGGAAATCAAATATTTATTTTTAAATGCTATTGAATTTAATTCTTAAGATTTAAAAAATATTGGAAAAGATATTATCCAAACGATTTCGAGAATCAGAAAATCGGATCTTCCTTAATTTTCTGAGTCATTAATGTGATAATCTTTTGGAAATATTTCTCTGCAAAAAAAAAAAATCCACATTAAGGAAAGCATTAAAATCGATACTAAAAATTGGTTACGATTTTCCATATATATAGTAAATATTTAATTGCAAACATTTCGTATTTAATATTTCTCATCCTAATATTCATAAACACGATTCTATAGAAACAAATAACTACTCTTCATAACAAAATCATCGGATATTCCTAAACAAAAACGAATTTATAGATTTTATTCCAATTTTGTTATGGTATCAAATATATTATGCTTGGCCACCAAGATATTTTTGACCTACCTTACTCTACTATAAATACTCTATGCAATTGCGTTTTCTCATATCATCAGCCACACAACTCAAATATTTCATAGATCATGAAAACACACATTTGTTTTCAATTGGTTACGATTTTTGAAAAAATTGGTATATGAAATATATAGACATATACATGTATCTTATATTTGATATCTTTTTCGTTTGAAAGTCACATACTCACATGCATGTGTCTTTTTTTTTGCTTTTGTATTTGTGACAGAAAACGGATAACGTTACCTACAATGAAGAGAATCTTGATGAGTTCTATATTAAAAGAACTTCAGCATATATTAGTCAAACAGGTAATCACATTGCAGAATTCACTGTTCGCGAGATGCTTGATTTTGCTGCGAGATGTCAAGGCGCAGGTGAAGGATTTGCAGGTTTTTTTTTCATTTGGTGTTAGTAATCATTATAAAAACTTCATCAAGTCATAGATTCTCAAATATTTTCTGTTTAGATGTTGTGTAATTGTAGGTTACATGAAAGATCTAACCCGATTAGAGAAAGAGAGGGGTATACGTCCTTCTCCTGAGATTGATCGAAATGAAGGCCAGTATCATATAGCTCCTAATGTTTCAAGTATTATCATGTTTCTTTGTAACAAAACAAAGTCTGACACGTTCTCTTTGTTATAGGCTGCTTCTGTCAGTGGTGAAAAGCATAGTGTTTCCACAGCTTATGTGCTTAGAGTTCTTGGTCTTGATGTATGTTCTAATACAATGGTTTTGGTAATGATTTGATGAGAGGTGTTTCAAGAGGTCAAAGCAAAAGAGTAACAACAGGTATTTTCCCTCTCTTTTTTTTATCTATATCACTTAGTGATCCACTAGATCTGTTATGCTAATTGATAAACTTGACGCAATGCAGGAGAAATGACTGTTAGGCCAAGAAAAACATTGTTTATGGATGAGATATCTACTGAGAGCTATCGGCTCCAATGTTACTGGAGTGATTGAGACGAGGAAAAGTCAGTCAAAGATCAGATGTTTATAGCTTTGGTGTGGTGATTCTCGAAATGCTAACTGGGAAGACGCCTTTAACTTAGCCTGGTCTTGAGGGTGAGCGTGTGGTCATTGATTTTCCAAGATGGGTTCGGTCCGTTGTGAGGGAAGACTCTTCCCGGAAGAGTACTGACTGCAGAGGTTTTTGATGTCAGATGCTTCAGCTAGATTTGTCTTGTGTCGCAAGGAATCCAGAGTCGAGGCCAAAGATGGAGGAGGTTGCGAGGATAATTGAAGATGTGAGGAGATGTGATCAGTCGCAGCAAAACATAACATCCTCAGAGTCTACTTATAATGTCTCTGAATGATTTTTCATTTCGATCAAAAGTTTCTTCGATCAATTCTACTTCAGTCTTATTGAATGGTGTTACTTTGTATCATAGTTCAGTGCGTTTAATCAAATTCTCCTCCAGTGAATTTTTTTCTCTTTCAATTTTTGTTAATAATAATTTCGCTTTCTTTTCCGAAACTAAAAGTTCGTCTACATTTCATTTAGACTTTTCCAAAGTCAGCAAATGTCAAACTCCAATTAAAAATTGAAATGAGATCGACATGAATAATGAAAAATCATAACCACTGCCCATCCTGACCCTAACTATTGTTTGGTTTGTTTATTAAAACATGGGATTGTTTCTTTCCTCGAGAGTCATGTTTTATTAGTTAAATTTTACGCTTTGCACCTTCGATACAGTTTAGTACTGTATGTGTGATAGTATTTTGTGAGAACAGGGTTTCAGAATTTTGTTTGCTCCCCATCCATACATGTCAAAGATTTGGTGTTTAATTTTAAATAGGTCAAGTTTTTTTTTTTGTCTGGTAATCTTATTTTGTAAAATATTACACACTGGTAGATTCTAAAATAGAGTGAACCTCGGAACAAAATTAAGGGGTTATTTATATATTATTTACACTCCAATGAAACTGTCTTAAATTCTTAAGATTTGAAAAAATTAATTAAAGATATTAACAAAATAAAATCGTTCTAATAATCTCGATTAAATCCTAGGTTTCCTGATCTACATTTGATTTTTTGGTTATGGTTTTAAAGATAGATGGTAGGTATTATTTGTTACTATAATCTCGATCGCATCTTCCATTAATTATTTGCCTAAACAACTAACTGAATTTAATACATTTTTATCTAAATTTTAGGAATATTAATCACTTACAGTCTTAAATTCTTAAGATTTGAAAAAATTAATTAAAGATATTATCAAAATAAAATCGTTCCTATAATCGCGATTAAATCCTAGGTTTCGTTATCTACATTCGATTTTTTGGTTATGGTTTTAAAGATATATGGTAGATATTATTTGTTACTATAATCTCGATCGGATCTTCCATTAATTATTTGCCTAAACAACTAATTGAATTTAATACGTTTTAATCGAAATTTTAGGAATATTAATCACTTACTATTTGCATATATATATATATATATATATATATATATATATATGTCCTTAACACACTTTCAAAACTATTTAAATATACAACAAACACAATAAGATGATACGTAATTTGCACACGCCGCGGTACATCGTCGCTTACTAAATAGTAATCTCATTTTTTATTATTATAAATATTCAAACATATAACATACTCATCGTACAATTAACACTATATAGACTTCCATATACATTCTAATCACACATGCAAATGGGTTATATAAAGACTTACTATATTTAAAACCTATATTGATTTTTCTCAAACAAACATATACTATTTTTTAATAAAAATATAGTCCCGCGGTGTACCGCGGGTCAATTCCTAGTATAGTTAAAAACAATAGAACCTTTTATGTGAATGCGGTTATAATTATAATGACATTTTTTCTCGTTAATCCTATCAAACTCTTTGTCAAACATATATTTTCATATTTCACCAAAAAAAACATATATTTTCATATATTACTTCTTATTTATTTTGATTTTTTTTTTGTCATCTTATTTATTTTGATTATCCTATACTATTATTTGGGGAGTACACTTTATAAGATACCCTTAACTAACATTCCCTTTTGTAAGAATTTACTTAAGAATGGCATTACAAAATCTTATTTTAGAACAAATATCATTCAATTTAGTAAGGATAAACAAGTAAAATACTAATTTATGTCATTTAATTAATTTAATTAAATTATAAAACAAAAATCTGTTATTTTTTTTTTAAATGACCAATCAAAATGAACATATAAGATTTGATATCTAACTTACCATATTAATTTGTTATTAATCATTGAACTTCACCTCTCATCTTTATATGATTATATTAATATGAAACAAATAAATCATCATATCATCTACATAATAAAAAAAAATAATTTTTTTTCTGCATATGCCAAGATTTGAATTTTTAAAAACGCATATAAATTGTTCAATCTATAAAGGAAACAATTAAACAGGTCAAAAATTCAGACTTGAGTAATATATTTTTATTACACAAAAATAAAGTCAACAAAAATTCCGACTGAGCAATGGGTCAGAATTTGAATATTTATATTCGATTTCATACATTTATTTTTTTGAAATGTATGATTTTATATACTACAATAAAAATTTAAATATTTTAATTTGCAACATTTAAAATAAGTTTTACTTGATATTTTTAGAGAATATCATCAATACTTAATAGTTCAAAAAGTTAAAAATTATAAATACTCTAATTTGATTATTTTTAAAAATATTTATAATAGGTAGCGGGTTAAATATAATATATTATATGATGAAATGAGTTTTGATCCTTATAACTATTTGAATAGTTATATTTAATTTCATATAATTTGTTTTTGAAATTCATAATTTTATAAACTACAAAAAAAATTAAAGATTTTAATTTGGAATATTTAAAAATAGTGTAGAACATTTAACTATGGTTTGACACCTCTATATATTTGAAAATTTGATTCCGCAAGCAATTTTAGAATTAACGAATAATAGATTGTGCACGCAATATTTTAAAATAAAATATTGAGATTCTAAAATAAAAATATAGACTCCACGCACGGGTTGATTTTGGTATTATTATATGCTAAATATATGTTTATAACATATTTGATTATGCGAATAATTGGTAATTTCCGTAATTATAAATCTCAAACAAATTCTGTAATTAGATTAGCTCAAACAAATCTCTATTTTAACAACTAAAGAATTATAAATTGAAAAAGAATTTTCTAAATTAATTCAAAATAATAGCTAATTTTCTTAATTAATTCAAAATAATCTATGTTTTATATGCGATTCATTTATGATATTTTAATTTTTGATCTAACTGAAATATATGCAATCCTATTTTGTGGTGTTAACATAAATTAACTCATTGTTCAAAAAATATTACTTTTTAAAAAATAAAATTATTTCCGTTTTCATATCTTAAAAAAAAATTTATCCATAATTGAGTATTATAGAAAAAATTCTATATTTATTCTAATATTGTATATAGGGACTGACAAAAAAATTAATGTTTTTTCACTTACTATTATAATATATTAAAACTTAGTTCTAATATATATATTATATAAATTTTATAATAAATAAAATTCAACCCGTACTAAAGTACGAGTGATGATCTAGTTCTAACTCTAATTGGCAAACCTATTTGAATATTCTGAAATGTACCTTGTTCTCTCTTTCGTTCTTGTTTTTTTTTCCCAGCTCCACCTTAGATATTCTTCAGATCTTGTTTCAATCCTTTCTTCTTCTCTTCCAAGAGCATTTGTTTGCTTAAGGATTGAATTGAAGTTTTAATCAACAATGTGTATGCTTCCATCTTTTTAAAATTTTTTTGGCATGGGACCATAAAATTGGTAATAATTTTTTTGTGTAACCTTAACATTCATTGTGAAATGAATATTTACATTCTTAACAAAAAAAAAATGTACCAAAAAGAATTATTTCAAAAATTCTAATATTAAATCTGAATAAAAATATATTTTGTATATTAAATAAAAAAATTTCAAATTTATATAATATGTGTATTATCACGGATTCACGGATGATTTTTTTAGTGGTAATTAGCTTCCTTTTTTCTTATTTCATATTCCACAAACAAGTGTTGTTTGTTAAAACAAAGGGAAAAATATATATATAAAAAACCGTTAACGGCTGAAGAAAAAAAGAAAAAAAAATGATAGTTTGTGTTTGTTTTGTCTGCTGTAAAATAGTTTAGGTTTTTTTCGACAACGGAAAAAAATACACGTTTTTTTGGTAAATACTAAATAGTTTGAGTTTTTTTTGGAAATTTTCCTTTAGAGGAAAAAATGCGTTAAAACTAAAAATTAATTTGACAAAGTAAAAAATTTCGGCGAGAGTACCAAGTTCAAAGAGAATTTTACTTCCGTCACTGCACAGTAGTGTCTCCAGAAGCTGCCTTCTTCGATACCAATTTTCTTACAATTGTAGTTTCTTCAATTCTCTCGTCGAAAATGGCTTCTTTGAGTCTCCTTTCTCAATCCGAACACGTTCTCTTTGTGCCTGGATTCGCGTAAAAATGAGTTTCGATTTCACTCTCTTGAAGGCGTACTTTCGATCTATTTGGTAGACGTATATGTTCCATTTGTGTTCGTATTGCAATCGATTTCACTGTATCTATTTGCTCATTTTCTATCTGTCTCAGTGACATTCACATGTATATTTGTGGATTCGTTCTGCTTTGTTAAGGTTTCCATTGATGGATTAGAATTTTTTTTTTTTTTTTTTTTACTTATTGATGCATCTCTCGATTGGATTTATCTTGATCTTTGTTTCTTGGTGTTCTGCTTCCATTCAGCTTATGTATTGGCTTCTTTGTGAGAACTGAGAAGGCATTGTAATTGAAGCTTTGTTTAAATGGAAGTGAAATTTTCCTTTGTTACAACCAAACTAAAGTTCAAAACAAAAAAAAAACAATATACTTTTAGCATGAATTGTTCTTGCATGTGGTTATGCCTTTAGCTTGCTTTGCCTCTTGTATTTGAAGTTAGGTGATATATGAGCAATGCTCTACAGTTTCATTTAGTGTCTTTTTTAATAATTCTCTCATATTTGTTCATGGACCTGACAATAAATTCTCTTATTTTTGTGCAGCCTTTTGCGTTTATGCGTCAGATTCCAGTGCCCTTCTTGGAGCGAGTTTAAGAGGATTTCAACAAGAGATATGGTGGTGGAAAGGAATGGCTACCACTACTTAACCCAACAGCTTGAACAAAGAATTTGGGTACTTTTGGCTCTACCATCAGAATATAAAAAACCAAAGAAAATAACATTTTTTTTAGTGTATGTGGATATGGTTTTTAACTAATTTAGTTGTTTCTCAGGTCTTAACTAAAGGGGCACATGCAGTACTGTGTGGATCTTCCTGAGGAGATCAGCAAACTTGCCAAGGTTAAGGCTCAAGTGACCGATGTGAAATGTGTTATTATGGAGAACATTGAGAAGGTCAGAATGATATCCATGTCAATCTCACAATTTTATATCATTAATTTGAGAATATATGTCATAAATGACTTGAATTCTCTCTGCTTCTTACCCACTTCTGCGAAACTGACTGAGCTTTATGTAATTCATTAACTTGCAGGGTCTTGACTGCAGTGAAAAAATTGAGCTTCTAGTGGACAAAATCCGAGAACCTTTGTTGACAAGTTAGTAACTTACCTTTCACTCATATGTGAGCTTTTTGATACAAACATATCTCCTTTCTAATTTGTCACGCTCTTATATTTCGAATTCTGATATCTACAGGCACAAGATTTCAGAGGGTCAGGAACGAAAATGACAAGAAAGATGTGGTTTCAGAACATGAGGATTAAGGTCAGAGTCCTTGGTAAATCTTCTAGTATCATCTTCGTCCTCTCGGTTTGTCATGGCTTCAAGTGTGCTTAATAATTTGAAAGAAGAAGAAGAAGATTACGTTGTGGAATTATACCAAGCTGATGGGAACTCTGCCCGAGGTATCAGGTATATGCCCTTCTTTTTTTGTTCTGTTTTCGCGGTCTCTTTTTTTAGTTTTTATAGATTTTTCATTTGATTAGGGATAATGAAATATGATCCTTTAGGGTATGAATATATTTGGAAAGAGATTTAAGCTGCTGCGGTTTGCATATATATCTAGATTAGGTCTTTGTGCTAATGGTGATGAAATGGTTTCTTCGAATCTAAATCCCAATTTTGAGTTTCTGCTGTTTCATCACTCCCCATTCACCCTCTTCCCTCACTGCTACTTTTTCGTTAGGCAAAAAAAAAACAAAGATCTAAAGAGAATTCACCACTCTTACTTTATAGAAAACAAAACAGAACAAAAACATCAGATAGCATACAACAAAAGTAAGGAAATGCTTCGATACAATACCAACAACAAACTTGACAAACATTAAAACCAAGAAAGATCTTAGCGGTTTCTGCTTTTAACCAAACAAGCTAGCCACTCCGGTTTGTATGAAGCAATGAGTTGTGCTATTGCCAATCCAAGTAACACTCCAAGCCCATACCCTATTGCCACGCCTTTCCAGTTTAACACTTGCTCATCTTCTTCCTCTTCTTCTTCTTCTTTAGGCTGCTGTGCTGGTGGCGCGTTAGTCCCAAAGCAACTTTCTTGAAGAGGAAAACCACAAAGCCCTACATTTCCTTCAAAGGACGATTTAGGTTGCCCAGTTATTTGTGTTCCTTGTGGTATTTCACCAGTGAGTTGGTTGTAAGACATGTTCATGTACGCCAAAAACGAGAGAGTCCGTAGTCCATTAGGAATCGTCCCTGAGAGTTGGTTACTTGATAGGTCTAGTGACTCGATCTTCTTAAGATTGGCCAAAGACAGAGGAATATGGCCTGTGAAGGCGTTGTTCGATAAGTTGAGTGCGATCAGTGCCTTTAAGAGACCGATAGATTCTGGAATTTCTCCTTCAAGTCTATTTCCAGAAAAATCAATGGTGGCTGAGGAAGTAAGAACCCTTTCATCCTCCATAGATAGACCTTTATATTGTAAATCTATACCGTCCAGATACATGAGGTAACAGTTCCTGTAAACAGTCTTCTCATATTCCATATATAGACCATGATCTTCATTCATCGTGAGTGATGATGCTTTCCAATTCACAAAAAAGTGTGGGGGCAACCCTCCGGTTAATTTATTACCAGCTATCTCAAGTATCCGCAGCTCAGGAAATTCCAGAGGACCTTGATTAGGAGGAGATAAAGGACCATAGAATTTGTTTGAACTGAGGATAAGGACTTGCAATTTCGGTAAAGCCTTAAGGGAGAAAGGAAATGTATCTTTGATTCTGTTGTGGTCCACACTTAGTAACTGTAGAGCTGAGCAATTTAGAAGCGACCTTGGAAGCTTTCCCGTTAATCGGTTGTAGCCAACGTCGAGTGACCGTAGAGGTGCATCGACATAATACTTGTCTGGAATACTTCCTTCCAAGTTGTTCTTCCGGAGACCCAAACTCGTTAAGTTACTCAGACATGGAGGAATTAGACCGGTGAAGTTGTTGTAGCTTAGATCAAGAACATCAAGCGAGCTTCTGTTGCATACTGAAAGGGGTATGTGGCCTCTGAATCTATTGTTTTTTGCAGAGAATGAGCTGATAGAGAGTGGTAGATGCGGAAGTGCTCCTTCTAAACTATTTGACTGCAAAACTAAGATCTGCACCGATGAATTTACTAAAATTTCTGATGAACCTTCGAAGCCAGTTAACAAATTATTTTTAATGAGAACTGAGCTCAGACGAGGAAGGCTCCATAACCACTTTGGAATTTTCCCACTGATTGTATTGTTGGATAGCGAAATATACTTCAAATTTTGAAGGGTCTTTAAGATGTTTGGGAAATCACTGATGTTGCAGTACTCCAAAAACAACGCTTCCAGGGTCGATGGGATGTATGAATCTGAACTTAAACTAGCCTGAGATATCCAATCACCTGATAGATCGAGGAGCAACAAAGATTTGAGAGAGGAGAAGAGACTTAAGTCAATTGGGTAGCTTGTTTTTAGGAAAGAAAGGTCGAGCTCTTTAAGGTTGATGAGCTTTGAGATAGGCTCTAGGATTTTTCCTTCAAAATGGTTTTTACCTAGGTACAATCTCTCTAGCCTTGATGACGAAAAGGAGTTAGAAGCTTCAATTGAACCATTGAGATTGTTTCCATCTAATGAAAGATATGATAAGAAAGGCATAGTGAAGAGAGAAGAAGGGATGGTTCCAGAAAAGTGATTATCAGAGAGTTCAAGCCAAGAGAGCTTGGTTAGATTTTGTACAAGTGGGAGACAACCAGTGAGGTCGTTCGTGGAAAGGTACAACTCAGTTAATTGGGTTAGGTTACTAATTGTGGGGGGAACTTGACCGAAGAAGCTATTAGAGGTAACATCCAACACCTCTAGTTTCTGTAGATTGCCAAATTCATAAGGGAGTGAAGAGGAGGTGAAGTTGTTGAAACCAAGATCAAGGAAAGTGAGGTGGTGCAACTCAAACAGGCTACTGTTGGGATTCAGAGTTCCAGAGAAGTGATTATGAGAAACACCTAAAGCTGTGAGCTTGCGTAGATTCCGCACAAATGATAAACTACCAGTCAGCTTGTTTCCGCGAAGGGCTAAAGTGGAAAGCATGCTTAGGTTACTAAATGAAAAAGGAACTTGGCCGAGGAAGCCACTATTGGAAAGAAATAAAACCTCTAATTTGTTGAGCATTCCAAACTTGGAAGGGATTGAAGAGGGGGTGAAGTTGTTGTAAGAGAGATAAAGGTAACGGAGGTGATGAAACTGGAAGAGGCTACTGTTGGATTTCAGAGTTCCACTGAGACATGCATTGAGTCGTAGCTTCGTGACCGCGCCCGTGGAGTTATCGCACCACACTCCATTCAAAGGGTCACTATGGTTGCAAGCACGAGTATCAAACTCGTTCTTGAACTGTGTAAAGGCTTGAATCTGATGGGGACCACAAGCAACAAGACCAACAACAGGGTTATTAAAAGTGAAGAAGCTTGAAGGGGAGACACAAGAGAGTAAGAGTAGCAAGAGAAAATTCAAACGCAAAAGCAATTCAGACATGATGAAAACTTTGTAAGAAAGAATGGATTTTGATATAAGAAATGTGAGAGAGAGGAGATTGGTATAAATAATGATAGGATGTAGTTTTGCATAGTGGAAAAAGTTAGAGCTAAGTGAAGTTATCATTGAAGTGAAATCAACGTTAGATGACTTTTCTAATGTAGAATTTGGACTGCAATCACATCACTTTGAAATTTCTCACATATATGTTCAAAATCACATGAATAATGGGGTTGATATTGACCCCTACATGTGTTACACACCAAGCTGATATTGGTGAGTCAAGATCCTACCACAGATGTCCAACTGATATTGACCCCTACATGTGTTACACACCAAGCTGCACCATCAGCTAATGGAATTGGAAGCTTCCTTGGTTTAGATCTTTTGTGACGTGAGGAAAGGAGAGAGGTCACGAGAGTTTTGATTTGGTGTTTCGAGACACTGGAGCTTTAGTGGTGTTATTGAATTGGGCTTAGTATAGAGTTTTTTTTTTTTTTTTGTTTAAGAGTCTAAAGAGCACACATAAAGTAAGGATTCAAAATGGGGTGGAGTAAAAATTGTATAGTAAGATATAAAAGTATATATATATATATATATATTAGTTTACATTAGGACCTACCTATATTACGGTTTATAGTAATCTTATTATATAAAGTATGGTTTGCAAAGTTAATAACTCATAAGATCATGCCACTTGTCAAATTTATCGATTTCAGATTTCGACACGTGTAAAACAAAAATTATTTATATTTATTTAGAAAAATAAAATAAAAGGAAATTATATGTATATCTCTTAAATAAAACAATTTTAAAAAGTAAAGAAGACAAATATAAGGAAACTACATATGTATGTTATTAAATAAAAATAGAAATTAAAAAATCAATTACTACTTAGTAACTCATATGATCGTGCCACGTGTCAAATTTATCAATCTTAGATTTTGACAAAGTGTTAAACAAAAATTTCCTTTTATATATTTAAGAAAAAAATTATAAGAAAACTATAAGCACATGTCAAATCTATCGATCTTAGATTTTAACACGTGTAAAACAAAAAAATTATTTATTTATAAAAATAATTGTTAAGGAAATGATACGTATATATCTCATATAAAACAATTCTAAAATCTAAAGAAGATAATTATAAGAAAACTAGATGTATCTTATTAAATAAAAATAGAAATTAAAAAAAAAACATTATAAGGCAACTATACATATATCTTATATAAAAGAATTTTTTAAAAGTAAAGAAGATAATTATAAGAAAACTATATGTATCTTATTAAGTAAAAATAGAAATTAAAAAAATTATTTACTTATTCTAATTTAAAGCTACTAATTCTAAAAAAATTATTTACTTATTCTAATTTAAAGCTACTAATTAGTATTTAGGGTTTAGGGTTTAGCTTTGAATGTTGAAAGTTTAATTTTTATTTTTGTTGTATTTTTGGGAAAACAAGAAATTAAGTGGAACTTTTGGAATATTAAATTAATAATAATTGTTTTGGAAAATCAAAACTTAAGTGTGTTTTTTAATAGAATTTTCCTATATATTTTGAGTGGTAAACTATTAAATAGTAAATAGATGTAAATAAGATGACGGTTTGAACGGTGGTGTATATATAAAATATTTTTTGTAGAAATTCTGGAATCATTTTTTAGGCGAAACTACAAAACCATGTTTTTGAGATTTAACAATAATAAAATTTTTTTGTTTTTTTCCAACAATTTGACAATAATAATAATGATGAATATATAAACAAATCTTCTGTCTAATTAAAAATTTAGCTTCTTATTTCTTAAATATATTTTCTATTCATAATTAAAAAATTAATATTTAATTTTATTTAAAATTTTAAAAATCCGCCCACCGGGCGGGTCCTAATCTAGTATTTTATAACCGTTGAAAAAGTAAAAAAAAATTGATAATATGGAAAACAAAATTAAACCACCCACAAAAAAAAGATTAAGATTAAAAACGATGACGCGAGAGCATCAAGAGAAACGCTTAACAGT